AATATTCCAACAATAGTGAATCCTCACAAATAAAAACATGCATTAATGGTGATGTATCTAAAAAATTCTAACAATGATGCCCTCACAACAAAGAAACAAAACTTTCAACAATGTATACCTTTTCAAAGAAATCAAACTTCCAGCATATTTGCATCCCAGCAAAGTCACAAAGATTCCAACAATTACACTCATAGACAAAACTTAAGGAAGTTGTACCTTTTAACATGTATATCGGGATTTAGACAATAACTCTGAAAGATATTACAGTGACCTTTATTGAAGACACACGAGATAACCAAGTGTGAACAAAACTTAAGGAAGTTGTACCTTTTAACATGTATATCGGGATTTAGACAATAACTCTGAAAGATATTACAGTGAACTTTATTGAAGACACACGAGATAACCAAATGTGAACAAAAAATTGCCTCTTTCTCCTTCAAAAAAGAAAAAATAGACGATCCTCAAAGACTTTTGACTTCCCTAAGTTGTGTCCATGAGTGTTTTTTTGTATTCAGACAAACACGTCCCTTACTTCTTTCACCTGAACGCAAATCTAGAGACCCAGTGCTTTCCAAACATTGGGAACAACTCATAAACTTCCTAGATAATAATCTACTGACAATAATTAATGGCAGAACTATAAGTGACAAAACTGGAAACTGCACATTTATCTCAAGTCGTGGCTCATCTGTTGTCGATTATTTTATTGTCTCATATTCCCTGCTGGAGCACGTTGTTGACCTCAAAGTAGATAATAACCCATACTCGGACCACCTTCCACTAACAATAAACATGTCTAACTTATCTAATCTCAAACGAACGAAAGAAACCGTCTATCCCTGCTTTGAAAGATACAGATGGGCACCTGATAACACATCCCTCTTTTCGCAGAATCTTGACAACAATCAAGTCTCTACAGACCAGAATCTTGACAGCCTAGTTAATACATTTTCTAAACAAATACTAAACGCAATGCTTGCTGCAGATATGCGCATTAAGGTCAGACCTGGCCGCCCAAAATCGAAACCCTGGTATAGCAGGGAATGCTATTTAGCCAAAAAATCTGCTAAGGCAAGCCTCACAACCTTTAAGGAAACGAACACTGACGTAGACCGCAATATTTATGTCTCAAATAGGAAAAGGTACACGACCTTAATAAACTTCAACAAGAAAAAATATCTTCAGGAAAAACAAGAACTTCTTAAAAATGCCCGTGACTCCGCAAACTTTTGGAAAACTATAGCTACCTTGAAAGACAAAAGCTATATACAAGGAAATATAACAATTTTAGAGTGGCAATGCTTTTACAACAAACTGCTCTCTGCTGAAACGACGATAGGAAGCGACCTATCTACTCTCTCACGAATTGATCCTGAACTCTACTGTGAAATCTCCATAACAGAAATAACTAGAGAAATCTCCAGTCTGGCAAATGAAAAAGCTTGTGGCGCTGACGAAATTCCGAATGAAGCATTAAAGACCCTACCTTTCGAACACCTTGTTACTCTAAAAAATATATTCAACAGAATCATTAATTCTGGTTCATATCCCTTAATATGGTCTAAATCTATCATCCATCCTATTTTTAAAAGCGGTGACCGGGATAATCCATCAAACTACCGCGGAATTGCCCTTATTAGTAATCTGTCAAAACTTTTCACATCAATACTAAAATCGCGATTACGCAACTGGATTGAAGGTAGATCAATTATTCCAGAAAACCAGGCCGGATTCAGAAAAGGCTACTCCTGTCAAGATCACATATTCACACTGTTGTCCTTGATACAGCTGACTCTCAGACGTAAAAGAAGAAAACTCTATGCTTTTTTTGTGGACCTAAAAAAGGCTTTTGACACTGTTCCCCACTCACTTCTGTGGTCAAAATTGGGTGAATTAGGTCTGGATTTCCGCTTTGTTAACCTTATCAGGAACTACTTCGAACAAATGACAACGACGGTGAGATGGAATGGACTATTTACTGAACCCATCAAAATCCGATCGGGAGTGTTACAAGGAGAACCCTTATCACCCTATCTATTTATACTCTTTGTAACTGATTTAATCAACATTTTAATGACTCTACTCTACCAGGCATATACCTCCCTAATTTTGGAACGGTCCACCTTTTGATGTATGCCGACGACATAATTCTCATAGGAGAATCAAAAATCAATCTACAAATAAAAATCAACATGTTGAAAAAATACTTCGAAACAAATCATCTAACCCTGAACGAATCAAAATCCAAGATAATGGTTTTCCGAAATGGTGGCCGCCCTGCAAAATCGGACAAATGGTTCTGGGGAGACCAACTGTTGACAGTGACATCGAAATATCTCTATCTTGGCTATCCCCTCACAACAACAATCTCGTTTAGCCAAGTGGCTTCATACTTTAAAGGCAAAGCGCTTGCAGCTACCGGCGAAGTATGGAAAATTATGGAGAAATCCAGGTTGAATTCATTTGGTTCATCAATGAAACTATTAGACTCGATTATCCTGTCAACTCTGCTGTATTCTGCTCCAATTTGGGCAAACGAAAAGTACAAAATCTTGGACCAAATTCAGAATAACTATCTCCGACGACTATTGAACTTGCCGAGTAACACACCAGGCTACATACTACGCATGGAAACCGGACGCTTCTCACTAGGAGTCACAGCAACCAAACTAATTCTAAAGTTCTGGTTAAGAATATTAAAAATGGAAAAATCCAGATTGCCCGCAATCTGTCTAGCCCAATTATGGGAAACGTCCACTCTGACGAATGCCTTTATAGGTTTTACAGAAAATTCAATGAATATCCTAAACTCAACTGGATTCATGTGGTTAAAGAATTGTTCAGACCCCAATATTCTACAGAAAGCAATACCTCAAATTATCAGAATCACTATAGAACAGTCTATCCAAACCGACCAATCAAGAATAACCAATTCGAAGCTACACACACACTACAAATATTTACATAAAACATTCGCAGCAGAGAACTATCTACTAAGTGAACTCCCACTGCCGGCTAAACGCCTCATTGCGCAATTGAGAATTCTATTTGTTTTATATCGAGAAGACCATATAAAATATCTAAGGACAGAAGACTTGTATTGCCAACTATGCAAAAATAGAACCGAAAATGAATTAGAACATTATATATTTGAATGCATGCCTCTTGACACGGAAAGAAAAATACTCTTCTCTAAGATAGGCCATACACACTTCACATTATATTCTTTATTATCCAACTTTATAGACAATAGTTCAGTAGCTCTAAATCTATATAACTTCCATAAAAATGCTGTAAAAAAGAAAGACTTAACCGAACATTCAAACATACCAAAAATTTCTGTTTGATAAGAAAGACAGAACCAACATCCAATTATTTGTTTAGGCAGATACGATAAGTTAACAATGATAAAACGGTGTTTACCTTACAACCCTGAACACGAGGATTTCCTGGGAAATCTCTTAAAGATTTCTTAAAAAATACATGGCCCACCTGCGCTGTTCCATCTTGTTCCATATGTAAATACCTGTTTTCTTTCCTCTTTTCGCTCTCCACTTCTCCCATCCATATTTCCAAAAAATTTTTTTTTTTTTTTTCTCTTTTTTTGATTTTTTTTTTATTCTTCTTACTTTTTATTCTTTCTTATAATCTGTATATATTTACCAAATGTATATAATCTTTCTCCATTTTTTATTTCCCACTTTCATAGGTTCCTCCGTTTTGTAACCCCAAGGAGAATCCTCTGTAAGACCTGTGTGTCTTAATAAAGGCTTTTGTGTGTGTGTGTGTGTGTGTATTCAGACAAACACCCAAATTTCCAATAATGTTTGAATCTAACCGTGAAAGAAAAAGGAACATTTTAAGACGACTTACTTGTACAAAAATTAAAAGTGTGACTCCAGAAAAAAAAAAAAAAGATCCAAACAAAATTACAAGTAGGTAGGACTCGGTGTCAAGGACTGTCCACTTCAAAGGACTTCTTTATTCATTGAGTTTCCTAGGTCAACAGAATCCACAAGTAACAGTTTTAAAATTTGACTTAAGCAAAGAGCTGTTTTTCCACCAATATAAGGGAAAAGAGAAACAATGACAAACAACACTCTTCTTCCGGGAAATCTTCCTGATAAGAAACCGTAATAAAGGGGTCGGGATTTACAATGGACCATTTGGACAAATGACGTTGAGAACACGTTACAATTTTGGCGTCATACCGCATCAATTTAGGTTACATGGTACGTGATCCATAGTACCATGTTCTGTAGACCGGAAAAAACCCTTTCTTATTATCATTTTATCCATAGATTACATACCAACACTTTGGAATAAGATGAAATATAGAGATTATTTCTTTGAAACTTTGCCTTTAAAACAGAACAATATATTTTTTTAAAAATAGAACAATCCATGAATAAATCTTTAAATAAAAAGGCATATATTGGATCAAAATATCATTTATCTTACCAATATTTCAGTTGGCTGAACGCCAACCTTTATTAAGGTATTATAACATTTTAATGTGTGTCAACAACAAACTCAGCGCCAAATTTATATATCATTTTTTCCCTTCCCATTGAATATAAGCGAAAATATTTTTTTAAACTTAATTCTATTGACGTTATGTGGCGCTGAGTTTGTTGTTGACACACATTAATTTGTTATAATACCTTGATAAAGGTTGGCATTCAGCCAACTGAAATATTGGTAAAATAAATGATTTTTTGATCCAATATATGCCTTTTTATTTAAAGGACAATATATATATTGTATAATTTTTAGTAATATTAATATATAATTTAGTTAATAGGTACACTATATTCTTGTAATATAATACAATATAATGCGGCTTGTGATTGTAAAACGACATTTGAAAATTATACCGCATGTGTTTCTTTTCAACGAAAAATCAAAATTTAATTATAAGGAGAAATAACGACTATTTCTAACCTTAGGGATGAGGTATGAAAGGATGAATTGTGAAGAGTATTGATAAACGAAAAAATAAAATAGCCTAGTGAACATGGCATCTGCCCGGTAAGCGGAACACTGTAGGTTCGATTCCCATCCCTGGACACTTTTATTTTTCCGTTTATCATTACTCTTCACGATTCATCCTTTCATACCTCATCCCTAAGGTTAGAAATAGTCGTTATTTCTTCTTATAATTAAAATTTGATTTTTCGTTGAAAAGAAACACATGCGGGATAATTTTCAAATGTCGTTTTACTATCTCCTTGTACCAATTGTACCATGTTTTCTCCTGTAGTAGGGTACTCGTGCCCAAAAGCTAGATATTAATGTTTTTAAAAATATACTTTTCCCTGGAGGTCTGATGTTTTTACTTAACAATATCCAACAATATGGTGGGTAGATGATCGTGATTTATCTGTACTGTAAGTACACCATATATGGTATACATACATATATATGTGAGAACGCTACACAATGTGAAAAAATAGTACAAATGTGATATTGTACTGGAATAAGGTGCATACATTAAGAAAAAGGCATCTCCTTATCGAGCGGCCCCCTGACTTGCAGGGCTGGGTCTTCGGGCATGGCGTAGACGATGACGCCCTGGCCATCCTGGCGTCTGCCAAGACGCGCATCTATAGGCATTTCCTCGGCGCGGAACTGAGGAGTGTACAAGAAGACCTTGTCTGGAGGAGGACCCTCTCAAGGTGGGGAAGCCTTCCTCGCTGAAGACATTTGTATATATATTCCCCTACACTTTATATGCCCATTTACTCTTTTATATTTTCTCCTTTGTAAAATTTGATTGAAAGAATCAATAAAATTGTTTAATTTGTCATTTGTCTATCGGAATAAATATAAACTATTCTCGTTGATTTTTAATTATTTCAGAATTGGCTAAATACCTATTCTTGATTAATCAAGAAAAGCTAACCACGGACGCGTTTCGGGCTGTTGGCTCTCATCATATGTCATGATAACCATGGTGGGTAGAGGCTTGTGACATTGTATTGTAGGCACACCACATATCTGCTCTTCCAATATTATTTTATGGTGGGTAGATGGCAACTGTAAATATACAGCATGTACCACAAGATCCTATGATAACAATATTGCCACGTGGAAAATTAGGGAAGACAAAAACTTCAGGAGGAGACAACAATTTATTTCAGGCAAAGACAAACTATGAATGGTAAATAAGCCACGAAGGGAAATTTACAGAGTCGCAAAATAAAAACATAAAAATTAATAAATACTTTGTTACATAGCTTCTTCCCTGTGGGAGCTGTGACCCACAGCTAGCAATTATTGTAGATACTGACATGGATCTGACGTGCTTCTGCCAAGGATTCCATCGAATTCTTGGAACTTTGTCCCTAGTACCTTTACGTCCTTTTTCTTGCGGCGTGAAGAGCGGCTTTGTTGTCGTATCGTCTATAGGGACATCGTCATCTTCGAGGGAAGTCTTGGCTTTAGCACGGCGGTGAAATCCTGGAGTCAGTCTCCGAAAATGTAGATCACAGCACCCATGGCTTCAAGGTCTTCTCGGCGATCTTCAGTTTCTCTTCCCTAACTTACCCAGCATCTCCACCAAAATGCCACGTGGAAAATTAGGGAAGACAAAAACTTCAGGAGGAGACAACAATTTATTTCAGGCAAGGACAAACTATGAACGGTAAACAAAAGATAAGCCACGAGGTAAATTTACAGAGTCGTTAAATATAAACATAAAAATTAATAAATACTTTGTTACAATATATAAAATGAATCTCCTTTATAAGAAAATGTGTAGCTATAGCTTCAACGAAGTGGTTTGCTGACACCTATGCAAATTAGGGAGTAAATGGCACGTTATGCAAATACGACACGGAGTCACCACATCCTGTCATATCAGGTCTCGCTGAATGTGCAAATTCAGACTTGGAGCTGTTTCTGCCTACACATTTGAGCTACATACTCTTCAACGATATCACATATACATTAATGTTATCAAAGTATACAAGAAGTAGTTTGTAGTACTTGTAGTACTTAGCTTTAATATATCATCTGTAATTTTAAAATATTTGACCCTAAAAATATATGATTATTTCATTTTTCAAATAAAAAAGCATTATATAAATGTTTTCTTGGGGTTATCCATGTCATGATTTAATTAGAGATGCTTAAAACCGAATAATATCTGTAAAATATTGTCACGTGGAAAATTAGGGAAGACCAACTTCGGGATGAGACAACAATTTATTTCAGGCAAGAACAAACTATGGACATAGTTCACTAAACACCCCTAAGCTGCCTTCCATAGAAAATGCAGGGTATATAACAAAACCAGTCCAATACAAAAGAACAAACTATGCATGATAAACAAAAGATAAGCAAAGAGGGAAGTTTATAGAGTATCAAAATAGGAACATAAAAAATGATACTCTGTTAAAATAAAATACTTTGTGACAATATGTAGATTAGTTTTTAATCCAGGGGGTATGTCTTAAATCCAGTACATCAATATGTTTGTAACAATCCAAGTAGAATTATAATTGCATATGTCCTATGAATTTAAAACAATTTAATAGGGGCCTTCTGAAACATGTAAGGTAATAAAAGTCATTCCTTTGTTAGTGGAAGCCACGATGACAAATGGTCAAAAACGGACAATTGAAGGGACCGTCTAAAAAATATGGTAACAATTAGGTAGAGGAGAGGGGGGGAGGGGAACTATTTAAGCAAACGATGGGCGTGGATTTGGGTCCTGACCTAAAAATTTGCATAGTGGTTGAGATCTACGAAGGAGATTGGCAAGAATCTGCCTCAAGCTGTTTTCCAACTCAAGTCATTAAAGAAGGGAAGTGACGAATAGAAAAGGAATTTATGCTTGGGGAGGTATCGTCTGCATTTATAAATTATTGTTTCCATCTTTTTTTTACTCTTGCTTCTTCTTCTTGTTTTTTCCTTTGAAAAGGATGTCAAAAGATTGCCATTTTTACTTTAATTTTTGATTTCGAAAAACTTCTTTTTATATTAATAATATTTACTTCTGTGGTCAAAATTGGGTGAATTAGGTCTGGATTTCCGCTTTGTTAACCTTATTAGGAACTACTTCGAACAAATGACAACGACGGTGAGATGGAATGTACTATTTACTGAACCCATCAAAATCCGATCGGGAGTGTTACAAGGAGAACCCTTATCACCCTATCTATTTATACTCTTTGTAACTAATTTAATCAACATTTTTAATGACTCTACTCTACCAGGCATATACCTCCCTAATTTTGGAACGGTCCACCTTTTGATGTATGCCGACGACATAATTCTCATAAGAGAATCAAAGATAAAATAATAATAATAATAATAATATTTAAAAATGTAACACACTTTTTTTAAATGTATATATGTGTATAAGATATTTTTTAATTCTTAATATAACCCAACCCAATAGTTCTTCAAATTAAAGACAGTTCGACCAGTAAATCTTTACCTCGACGTTTCAACAAAAATCTTTTGTTTTTGTCAAGAGCGAACAAAAATTAAAACGTTTGGTAAAGCGTTAAAAATTATTCCTATTAATTCTTAGAATAATATTTAACGTTTTATCAAATGTTTTAATTTTTGTTCGCTCCTGTTGATTTTGCTTAGAATTTTGAATGAAACTGATTCCAAGAATTATTAATTAAACATTATATTTATTGATTTACAAGAGAGAGAACAAAATATAAAAGGGAAACTAATATTGAACAAAGGAACTTTTTCTATTTCGGTTAGCGCTTAGTTACCTGTGAGCTTACATACACTCTGTGGAACACATTTAATTAATATATATTCAATAGCTTCTGACGAGGACAAAAGATTTTTGTCGAAACGTCGAAGTAAAGATTTACTGGCTGAAGTATCTTTAATTTGAATCGTCTGTTGGCCAACACGTTCTCCCGATCTCTCACCAATAGAAAACATCTGGCACATCATCAACCAGTTTGATTGATGTAGTAAAGATTTGAAGCTAGATAGACTTCTGTCAACACATGCTACTGCCATTTAAACTAATTTTTGACTCATTGACCAATCAGAATTAGAATTTTGAGTCAAAAAGCGTTTCATTAAATAAGTTTATATATTGGTTTTTAACTTTTTATTAGAAATTTAAATTTATATTTAGACATTTTTCATTTTAATTTAGACATTTTTCATTTTAATTTAGACACATTCTATAAAAAGTCCATGTGTATAAATTAAAATGAAAAATGTCTAAATTGAAATTGAAAAATGTCTAAATAAAAATGAAAAAACATCTAAATTAAAATGAAAAATGTCTAAATATAAAATAAAATTGTCTAATTAAAAGTTAAAAACCCTATTTAAAAAAAGTGCGTACTTGAATCGGTAAAGGAAAAAAAAAAAAACAATTTCTTCTCAAAATATTTCGAGAAATTGCTTCCTTTTTACATATATAGGATAAAGAGGGAGTAATCTCTCGAAATGTTTTAAGAAAAAATGTTTTTATTTTTATTTTTTCTTTACAGATCCAGGTACGTCCTTTTTTTTTTTAAATATAGAATTAGAGATGTTATATTGTAGCCAGAAGCTCCTACTCTTATTGCTGTAATTCAAATTTGCTTTTCAAATAAATCAATACAACAATAAAAAGCTTTATTAAGACCTTTTGGTCTTATTTTTGGTTTAAGGTACGCACTTTTATATATATATAGAATTAGAACTCTCTAATGCTTCGGGCACACCCATCGGTTTCATTAAAAAGCTCACTAATCTGCTTAACGATAATGGATCCCCTGCACTTGTTTCCTGTGATGACCCTGAAACGCTGAGGAGCGCGATTACAGGGCTCTTAAAAACAGCGGCAGACCAATCTATACAAAACGACCTTACAAGAATGGATAAATCTAAGCTATACTCTCACTACAAAGACATTCACATATCTTTCATGACGGAGGGATACCTTTTAGGGGATTTTCCTTTCCCGGTTGTAAGACTACTCGCACAAGTTAGAATACTTTCAAGTTTTTTTAGAGAAAACCACACCAAGATGCTCTGCGGTGAGGACCCGACTTGTACCTTCTGTAATTCAAAACTACAAAATGAAATCACTCACTATATTTT